TCAGGGGTGAGGATCCTCTGTCAAGACCCTGCCAACGTTTTCCCTGTTCTCTATTCCCCTGCAGGGAGGGAACGATTATGAAATCTATGATGATCCCCGCACTGTGGGACACAGCGTCCAGTCCCCCCAGGACACGGTTCAGCGATGCCGCGAAATCTTCTTTCCAGAGAGAGCAAACGAGTGCTGACTGCCAGGCCCCTGCAGCCCTGCCCCGGTCCCACCCTCTCCCCCCGGCAGGAAAAGCACCTTCATTTGAGGAATCTGCTCAGGGTAAACCGAAAAAAACCCCACTTTCCAGAGGTGGTTGGGACGTAACACGTGAGTGCGCATGGGTGTGCAGGAGGGGGCCTTCGCTGAGCAGCCCTTCGGCACTCACCGTCTGCGGGCTGAGCAGCCCTTCGGCACTCCCCGTCTGCGGCTGGGGCTTGTTGGACCAGACCCTCCTCGCCTCTGGAGAAACTTCTCTCTCGCCAGTTCGGGCCATGGTGGGCGGCGATGCAGATGCTTTCTTGGTGGGAAAGCGTTTGAAAGGGACGGTCACGAGAGCGCGTGCGTGTCCATCCCGTGCTCCCTTCCCTCTTCTCTTCTTTTTCATTCTGTTTAACACTTCTGCATGAGGGAAGAGGCGTCTCGCCTTGCTCTCCCCTTGCACCTTGGCCGGGGAGGCTGGGGCTGCTGAGGCCCCCGGCGCTCTCAGCAGAGCTGCTCCAAGGCACGAGGCCAGGGAGGCCATTTGCTCCCAGCCCGTGGTGGGACGGGGTAGCTGCGACCCCAGCTCGTTGCAGCGTTGGGCATCCTAACGGAGAGGGTCACCACGTCCTTCACCTCAGTGCCACACCGCGCCAGTCCCTACAGGTGACCTGGGAATGACAGTCTTAAAATGACTGGGCTCCTGCTCTGAGCTTCGCTCAGGTGCGTGAAGAAACTAATTCTCTCTTTAGCTTACAAAAAAAACCCAACCCGGGGTTTATTTCCTGTGTTCTGCGGAAGTTCTCAAGTCAGATGCATTCTGGTGCAGCTGGAGGATGCCGGGCACCTGGCGTGCTCAGAGCACCCTGGGGAGCAGCTGTGGGCAGAAGGCTTCCCGATGGTCTCCCCACTCCCATGTCCATTAGGTGTCACAGATGTGTCAGTGTAAAACCTTACCCAGGGCATTCGTAACAGACCAAGTCCCCTCCTCCCCAGTGCTCAGCTTTCCATCCTGCTGCCAGAGACGTTTTCAGAGAGGGCCAACACAGGCCAGATCTGGTTCCTCGTGCCGACGGAGGTACCCGCTCAGCAGTGCCCTCCAAGCTTGCTTTTCTGCCCCATCTCATCTCACACGCTTGGTTTACATGGTCACCATTAGGGAGGCTGGTTGCCCAGTGCAGCTGTCACATCACCCACCCCTCTCTTCTCCTCGGTCTTCGCGGGCTGCAAAACCACCTCCCTCCGTCAGCCCTTGACCTCCTCCCTCACGTTGGCCCTTTATTCCTGGCAGTTAACGCTGGGGCGTGTGGCCTCGTTGGTGATGCTAGTCATGACTCGGTGCTCAAGTTGTCTGGTGTTTGTAGACCTAGAGGGTACTGGAGGTTCCTGCAAACCACCCCCCTCCATTGCTCCCTGGGAACCTTTCTCACCACATCCCTGCTGGTGTGGCACTGCCCCAGCTCTTGGTCCTGTTTTCTCTCCCCTTTTTCTCCTGTTCCTGCTTTCCTCACCATTGCTCTTCGTCTCCCACCTCGTAGCTGGACTGCAGAGAGAAGTTTCTCAGCTGGCTACTGCCACTTAACCAAGGGACCGCGTTCCTCAGGCGAGATTCGTTGGTGCTTTCAGACCCAGGGCAGGGCTCCCGCGTTGCCACGGGCAGGGTCCTCAGTGGACCTTGGCACTGCTGCCTGGCCGCAGGAGCAGGGCTGCTGCGTGACCAGCGCTGGCGGAGTGCTGGCTCCTCCACCTGACTGCACCCTGTAGTTCTGCAACACATCAGGTCTGTAGTGCGTCACGTTTGCATGAGCGCAGCTGTCTGCCCAGCATCCAGAAATCCCTAGCAAATGCACAAATTCCTCTTGCTACAGAGAGAAAATTTCTGTGTGGGAGAAGAGGACCTGCTGGGGACGCCTGGATGCAGGGTACCCTTTTCACAGGCCACTGATTTTGGCCCTCCACTGCAACCTTCATGGAGGAATCACGTGTTTTGTGGTTCCTCCTTCTCTTTTTCACTGTGGATAAGGTGATGTGTTGGTATTGGGGGATTTATTTTTCCTGTAAGTCTGTTCAAATCAGCAGGATCTCTAGTGAGATTGGTGAGTGAAGAGCAAGGCCTGGCCCTGAAGGCACTGTGGTGGCCTTGGGGGCTGAGATGACTTGCATATCTGAAGGGAAGGGCAGTCTCTGTCCAAGGCTGCTCCTGAAGGCAGCACATCCCTTGCTCAGGGTGGGGGGAGCTGCAGGGTGAGCAAGGCAGAGGCAGGGATGACCTTCGAGGCACGAGCCATTGCTTGCTCTGCTCAGGAGCTCACGTGTGCATGGGTGGGATCGGGTTCAGGAACCTTCCCCGTTCCTGTCTCTGTCTTGCACCAAGCTTGGGCTAGTGGAGGGCACCTCCTGCCAAGACACTGTCCTTCTGGAAGGATGAGGAGGAGGATGGTGTCAGAAGCAGCTGGGGCAACCCCACAGTCTCAGAGCCACAGAACGGTCGAGGTTGAAGGGACCTCTGGAGGTCATCTGGTCCCACCCCCCTGCTCAAGGAGGGCCACCGAGAGCCCCAACTGCTTGCCCCATGGTTTTGCGGGCAGGGATGGGGCGTAGCGCTGGGGTGGGGGCCCTACACCTAGGGGATGGTGCACGCCTGTCCCCGAGACCCCTTTGCCATGATGCTCCTTTCCTGGTGGGTGCCCACGGCATGAGTGGGGGTTTCTCCCCATCTCCTGGTGGACCCCAGGCTCCTGTCCCAGGCTCAGGCTCTGCTCCCCACGAGCAAGGCTGCAGCAGCCCGGGACCCCCTGGGACACGCTGTGCGGAGGTGGGTGAGTCCGTTCTGCCGTCTGGATGAATCCTGGGAGAGCCACCAGCATCCCCAGTGCCACACACACCCAGGACAAAGAGCAGGGCTCGTGGGAAAGTCACTTTTAAGGACCCCAGGCTCCTGTCCCAGGCTCAGGCTCTGCTCCCCACGAGCAAGGCTGCAGCAGCCCGGGACCCCCTGGGACACGCTGTGCGGAGGTGGGTGAGTCCGTTCTGCCGTCTGGATGAATCCTGGGAGAGCCACCAGCATCCCCAGTGCCACACACACCCAGGACAAAGAGCAGGGCTCGTGGGAAAGTCACTTTTAATGGTTTATTGCCAATGTTACAAAGGTCGATACGTGGTCAGACAGGCAGGAACCACACCGGAGTAGTAAAAACACCAACAAGTCTAGGGTTTTAGTTTATTTCCAGAAAAAGGGGAGAGAGAGAGAAAAAAAGAAAAAAAAAAAAAAAACACAAAGTTTTTTTGCCTTGGCCAAGCTGACTGCATCTTCTGGGGACGCGCAGAGGCTGTGCCGGTGTCGCCACGGCCCCTGGGTGAGCCGGGCTGCGGGCTCCTGGGGCAGTCCCCGCCCCCGCCCGGGCTGGGGCTCGTGCGGTGTCCCCCCGAATCCCCGGGGCCCCTTGTCCCGTGCGGCGCCAGCCTGGCCCCCCTCCTTTCCCCACTTATGGCAGACCCCTGTCCCCACCACCGCGGCGGTGGCACGAAACGGGGGAAACGCCCCTCTCCATCCGGGCTCAGGGCT